TTTAATGCGATAAAAATTATCAAAACTGGAAGAGAAAGGGAGGGAGGGAGGGAGGGTGAAGAAGGAGAAGATGAAGAAGAAAAAGAGGAGGAGGAGGAGGAGGAGAAATGGCCGGGGATAAATAAAATTGAAGTGTGTTACAAGAGAGAAAACGCTTTATGCACGGTTATATTATTTCCTGGAAAATTGAGCGAACATTTTACTTGATTAAACACTTTACCGACGGATCTATTTGGACGCTGATACACTTTGCTTCCGACGTTTAGTAATTTAAATTTGAGATGGAATTACAGCGGGTTAATTAAACTGACCGTGCTGTGCAGCCCGTTCTCGTGTTCGGAAAACCTGCCGGGCTCTCGTCATTGTAATAATGTGATTTACCGTCCGGCCAAGCAGCGCAGCTTTGGAACTTGGAAAAAGTACAGGCTCTCTCTCTCTCTCTCTCTCTCTCTCTCTCTCTCTCTCTCTCTCTCTCTCTGGGATCGGGATAACGACTCGTCCTCTCACCCCGCCGGTATAAATTCGGTCTATAACCTTGAGGTCGCGCGAACCGATTAAGCTGGTAAAGGCAGCGAATTTCAGACGGGCAGCATTATATCGATTAACGTTAATCCCGAGCGATATAGAGCACTGGATATGGCGCAGCGGGGCGAAGCCGACGTGCGTAGAAAATGAAAGCGCCGGATAACGGGACGGGAATTCGCCTCGATCTTCTCGTCCTCAATCAATTGCGCCATCAACGCCAGCCCGATAACGCGTCCGACGCGCGCAATATCATCGAAGTACCCTCGACGCGCCCGCGTCAATTTTATCTCTTTCCACTCCGTATTAATTAAACTTAATTCAATCTTCGTCGCTCGAGTGAGGGGCTGAGGGACGGAGAGACAGGGACAAGAAAGTTCCCTGTCGCCGCGCCGGAAGTGGGCTGAACTTTTCAGGCGCGCGAGTTGGAAATATAATTAATGAAACTACCCGGTGCACGGCTCCAAGTACAAATTCCGACGTCTCCGGTATCCACGGCACGTATAGGTCTCCCATCGTTGCGTGATCGGGGCCTCTCCGCGGGGGAGGTTAGGGGGAGGTTGCCAATCGATACTTGAGAATTTCGCTTTCGCAGATCCTTCGCGAATGATATTCGCGCGGTTTGCGATCGCCGGCCGGCAGGCCGGCCGGTCGGTCGGTCCGTCCGTCGACCGGCGATTTCGATTGTTAGCCAAGAACAAAAGAGCCGCGTCGGTCGGTTCGTTATGACAGTTCGTTAGCCCCGTAAATTGGCTAACTCGCCGTTAATGGGCAGTTACCAATTGTCGAATCGATTACTTCGGTAAATTATCCGACATTCATTAGTTAACCGGAATTTTCCGTCACGCGCGCTCGCGCGCGCCCGACCGTGCCGACCGACAATCCGTTAACGCGAAAATAAAGTCAATTACGCCGCTTGCAACCCAATAACGTTTTCATCTAATTATAAAACTATTACATTAGGCGGATTACTCGTGGTACCCTTAACTCTCTCGGAACGCGCGTCAGCTCGACGCGACGCTCCGCGGCGCGGCGCGCCGCGGAGCGCCGCGCCGGGCCGCGCCGTGTCGTTGCACCGCGCCGGAGTCATTTATCTTCATTGCGCGCGAAACCAGTAAATTGCGCATTAATAGCATAAGTGCTAAACTAGTGCTAACTAGCGAGCGAGAAGCGTCTCTTATGAGAGGGCATTATCCGATAAATCACATTGAAATTTCGTACCTAAGATTGCGAGTATATTAATATTCCGCGCGCGCACATCGAGTGTGTAGCACCCTTCTAATGTGCGTCTCGATAGCGCTCGGATTTTTACGCTCGTCGCATTGCTATTCGTTCCACCGTCTGCACACGCCGGTATCTCGTCGGTAGCTGAGGAAACTTTGCGACAGAGTTAGCGAATAATTTCGTGCCGAAGAATGCAACGAGCGACTCCTCGGCGCAGCCGACGAATTGAAATCGTATACCGGCGAAGTCGGCGCCGATACGACGGTGCGTATTGAGATTCTTCGCTTCAAGATGATGACAATCTACCACTTTAATAAGCTGACAATATGATGATACTCACGCACGGAAAGAAAGATTTGCCGATATACGGACAACTGAAAATATCAGCTACAGAAGCAGATTTGCTTGCTTTCACAGCAAAGGATTTAGTTATTGGGTGTGCAAATTAGTTCGGTCCGCTTTCAAAAGATGGCTCCGGCTGTTATGAATTTTGGCGGTTTCAGAGATGTTAGACGTCTGCCAATAATATTCAGTTTATATTTGAGTTTCATACGAAAACCTTGCTTTTTACAGTGTTGAAAATGTCGAATTTTGTGTTAACCAAGCAGCATTTGCGGGAGGTTTTAATTTTCTGCTTTAATTGGAAGAAAAGCGCAGCTGAAGCCCATCGAATGCTTGTTGAAGTTTATGGTGACGCTGCTCCAACTGATAATAAATCATGTAGGGAATAGGTTTCGACGTTTCAAGGATGGAGATTTCAGCGTCGAAGACAAGCCTCGCTCCTCTGGACAGCCAAAAGAATTCGAGGACAAAGAATTAGAGGCATTACTCGAAGAAGATCAGAGTCAAACGCAAGCGGAGCTTGCAGAATCATTGGGAGTGACTCAACAAGCCGTTTCCGTACGATTGAGAGACATGGGATTCATGGCATTCATTTTGTTTTGAAATAAATACATTTTTTAACACAAAAAAAAACGGACCGAACTAATTTGTACTCCCAATATGATAGCCAAAAAATTTGCTGATATATGATATTAGCAAATCATTTAACTATCACAATTAAATCTTTTGCTATAAAAGCAAGCAAATTTACTCTTGCAGCTGATATTTTTAGCTGTCCATATATTAGCAAATCTTCATTTTCCGTGCGTGTGCCACTAGATTCGGCGGATCTCAGCGTCTGCGCAGCTCCAAATATCGTTTGCTGCGGCCCGGCTATTGTTTGCCAAATTTTCCAGCAACGATATATCTCAGATGTCGACTCTGCGATGTATGACGCATCCCTCTCTTTCGTTTCCTCCTCTCTCATTCCTCAAAACTGTCGCGCACGCTGTGAAAGATGCCGATATTTGGCGAGTACCCATATGTATTCGGATAGCTAGGGCTCCCTGGCCGAAATAATATCCGAGGTCCGAGCTGCGTCGTTCGCTAGTGCATCAAATATTTGCCATCCATGGCAACTCCATTGTCGATGATTGGACGTAATTACTCTAGTTGTAACGCGGTTACGGACCGTTAAAGCAAACGAACGGAGAGCGATTTATCGGCGCGTAATAAATTTCGATGTTAGTCTCGATACGCTACAAATAACAGGCAGAGAGAGAGAGAGAGAGAGAGAGAGAGAGGGAGGGAGGGAGAGAGAAAGAGTGAAACTTCGCGCTCGTCCGTTGAATATTTATTTCATCGCGACTTTACGAGCGAAACATGTTTTCCATTCCCCAAATCTGCTGAAAAAATCGAACGCGGACTTACCATTGGCAGATGGCGTATTTTTCCCCCCTTCTCTACTCTTTTTCGTGTGTGTGTGTGTGTGTATGTGTATGTTTTTTACATCGAACTGCATCTCCAATAAATTTGATATCCGCACCACCTCTTTACGACGCGACAGGATATGAGAGAAATCCATCGGTACGATCGATGAGAAGCCCCCGCCGGTTTTATTTCCGCAATAAAATCATTTTATCGCGTTCAGAACAGAAGTACGGCCTGTCGCTCTTTTTTTTTTGCAATCGAGAGGGTACACTGGATATAAAAATATTCAGATAAGACTAAACGCACGGTTCGACGGTGCCATGATACGGTTATCGTAAAAAAAGAAGAGAGAAACGCAATAAATCCTCACGCTGAATATCTCAATCTATCTCAATATATAGAGGGATATTATATATAGATAAAGGAAGAGGAGAAAGAGGAGAGAGAGAGAGAGAGAGAGAGGTATCATACGTGTAATTGCTTTATTATTCGCGGAGTGTTTCGGACGGTACATACAAATGGAATTTCGATATAAAGTGTCTCAGTTTTATCGTTTAACAATACTGGCAGTCTCACCGGGCTACTTCTTTTATCGATATTCCATTTTACCTCTATTTACTATGGCTCCCACTTTAAACATCCGAAACACCATCGGATTGAAATTGTCAAAACACACGTTGACGGCTGTATCTCGCATGACTGGTGCTCGCGTCTAAATATTTGCCGTGAAATATTTGCCGTGGTAGAAAAAGCGAGAGGGAGAGAGGGAGAGAGAGAGAGAGAGAGAGAGACCGCGTGAAGAGTATCGGCTAGCAACGCGAAAGGAAGGAGAGCAAGAACTGAAACAACGAGAAAGCGAGACTGCGAGAAAAGAAGAGAAAATTTATTCCATTTTAAAGAACACGTTAACTCCGAGTGGCGCTTACCTTATATATAAGCTCCGCAAGAATAATGCGTACCTAAGCGGAGTTTGCAAAAGTCCACATCCCCTATGCTCAATTCTTAAGTAAAGAGACCCGAAGGCGATTAGCGGGATATATATCGCTCCAGTTTTAATGGCATCCGAAAACGATAAATGTAGATCGTACAGTTACAGTGGTCTCCGAGCGTTCGCGGTATTTCCGAAAAGAAGACATTTTTTTTTTTTTCTTACTCACCTTTACATTGCACTGTCTGTGTCGATTTGCCGTTTTGTCGGTGTTGAACCATTCGGAAAATCCACCATTTCCCCCTAACGCTACGTGAATATTCCATCCGTGAAAACAAATAAAAATAATATTCCCAGATATACATATAAAAAAGATTTAATGAAATTCTAAAGCGGTATTATTCCAGTGAAAACACCGTCGGTTAACGTGTTTCGGTTTTCCGCGCAAATTTATTCAGATGAAATGAAATGACTTTTCGCAATTTCCTCGCGGTCTGCTATTTTGTTGCCTTTGAAAAATATGCGGTATTTAACGCGCGTCTAAACGGTGGAAAATCATCGTTTATGATTTCAGGTACAAAGTGGAAGTGGCCGGCAAGTCTTTACCAGTACTGACGAACCTCGACAAAGGTCGTTACGGGGTGCTGATCTTCGAGAACCTGAACAAGTACCTGCAGATGGACAAGTGGAATCGCGAGCTGCTGGACAAGTATTGCAGGGAATATTCAGTCGGCATCGTCGGTTTTGCCCCACCCGGAGAGGAGAGCCTGGTCGGTGCTCAGCTCAAGGGCTTTCCGCTTTTTATACACACGAATCTTAGGTTGAAGGTGAGAGCTTCGCCGGTGTGTGCCACGTTATTACGCTCGGCAACCCCGCCGATGTATTACATCTATGATTACATCGGTCACGAGAGCGGCAATATCATTAGGACGCCCACAGCAGCACGGCTGCTTTGATCGCGCGATAAGTAGAATGCCTTTTTTTCTTACAATCAATACCAAATAATACCACTCGGGAGGAGTCGTGACCGTATTAGAGAGAGAGAGAGAGAGAGAGAGAGAGAGAGAGAGAGTGAGAGGCAAGAAGAGGAGGTGACGACTCTGTGTGAGTGGCAATCTTCAAGGAAGCAATCAACTTTATATCGCGGGAAACTGCTATCGAAATGAGGAAGGAACTCTCTCGTAAAAGGGAGCAATAAAAAGTGTGTAGTAAGCATTAAGGCGGCGTGCATTAAGGAGCGAGCTGCAGTAATAAGATAATCGGTATTATACTCGTGTCCTTCTCCCCGAGACCGACCGGCAGCACGCGCTTGTTGTGCCGCATCAGCCGCGTCTGCGCTGTATTTCTTTCGAGGCGCGCACATATCCTATCCGCGAGAATCGTTTTCGTACAGTTACCTTATTACACACTTCATTTTCCGCCATCGAGCATCCGCCTGCCCTTATTATCCTCGTGAGTTACGACCTCCTTAAAACTTTGGAGCATCGATCGTGCCTCGAACGCATGGCGTTCGTCTCGTGAGTAACGATCATATGCCGTCGGCCGTAAACGGGAGCAGAAACTTGGCGAAATTAACGTTGTGCATGCTCATCGGGCACGACAGTGTACGGAGTATGTCATTCCCCTATAAATAAGCGCGCGACTGTAATGCGATCCCGTCCGACGGGTGCGACGGGCACGATCGGAATAAGGATCCGGGGAGAAGCCTAATTTAATTTCGCGCGATCCCCTTTCGATCGCGTCGGCTAAATCATATTTAACACCCCACGGAATCCCCCCTCGATACCGTTTCCTCTTTTTCTCTCGTTTTTTTTCTTTTTTCTTTTGCTTCTTTTACAATATCCAATTTTCAGTTTAACAATGCCTCTCTCTCTCTCTCTCTCTCTCTCTCTCTCTCTCTCTCTCTCTCTCTCTCTCTCTCTCTCTCTCTCTCTATCTATCTCTCTATCTCTCTCTGCCGCTCGTGTCGTGCTACTACGCGCTCGTGTGACTACACCCTGTGAATTTTCAACTAATTTCTCGCGCGGCGCATCTATCGCGCCCGCGCTACGTTATTACGTCGTTATATTATACGCCCGCGCATTTTACAGAGAATATTATTTCACGAGCTGTTCCAAATATAAAATCGCCATTTTATCACCGCGCGCGGAATTGGTCCGAACGATTCTCTCCGTCGCTTACGCGAGCGCTTAACAAAGCGCTACACTGTCCGCTCGCGCTGGTACGGCCGAAAATCTGATTTCTCTTGGAAAAGCGAGGAAAAATCCAGTAGAAACGGGAGAAACGAACGAACGAACGAACGAACGAACGGATGAACAAACGAACGGACGGACGGACGGACGGACGAGCGGGCGGATGGGCGGGTGGAACTTTTGTGCGCGCCGTGGAGAATCAGGTCGTTCTTTCTTCCTGCAGGATGCTCAGCTGAATGCGGCGTCTCCTATTCTCCGATTAACCAGATCGGGGGAAACGGCCTGGGGACCACTTCCTGGCGGCGACTGGACTATTTTTCAGGCCAATCACAGCACCTACGAGCCGCTCGCTTGGGCGCACCGAGACAGCCTCGACTATCCGGCCAACAAGAGTCCCTTGGCCACCGTCATCCAGGTGAGCGTCTCGTTCCGTCGTCTCGCGGAACGGCGTACGTACATTCCGGTCACGTATCCCTTCTCGGACAACTCGGACGACTGCGGAATTAATGCACCGACTCGGGGCGCGTCCGCGCGTACTCGCTGGCGACGGGGATCGTTTAAATCATTTTCTCCCTCGCGTAGCGTAGCCTCAATGTTACGCGCCGTCGTTCGTCCGGGGTAACTCGCTCTCGCTCTCGCTGGGCGGGGGGTAACAAATTTCCTGTTTTGCAGTCAGGGCTAATTTTCTACGTACACAGAGAAAATACTCCCTTTTTCTCCCCTTCTCTCCGCTGGCACGGTCGTAACGAGCCGTGAATTTTAGTTTATCGTGCGTCAACTTTGAGAGCCGGAGCTTCCCGTTGTGCTTACACAGAGCTTCGAGCGCATCCTCCGAGAATCCTTTATTAACTCTCGCACGCGCACGGATCTCTTATCTTCCGGGATACCCCGGGAGAAGGAGATGATCTCGAAAAACGAGAACGAACGCGGAATTTGCTCGCGGTAGCGAGTTTCACGCTGCTCGGCTCCCGGAGAGCCCCGTGGAAATTGTCCCGGTAAAGAAAGAACCGGGGGGCGAAGACACGGACGATTCGCCAAGTTAGTTCCTACGCTTCACACTCGCGCACGTGGCACGTGGGACAACAAGGATTCCAGCAGCTCGTGCTCGAGGATCCATGATCCTCGCGAGAGTCGCTTTCATTACTCTCCCACGGCTGTCTCTCGGAACGTCGCGGTTAGGTATCGCGCGCACTGATCCCCGGAATCGTCCTTTTCCGAAGCCGACGAGCAGCAGCCGCGCAGGCGGCTACCACTCGGACGGGATAATTTTTAACGATGATCCCCGCCGCTTCGCGCCGGTGAAAAAAAGCCGTCAATCGAGCTGAGTGTGGAGGCCATTACGACGCGGAGCCAGGACGCACGGATCGGTTATGCACTTATCTTCCCTGCGAAGTGACGAGACGGGAAAGAGGAGCACAGTAAATCCCTGGGCGCCCTCTCAAAGGGCAGCCGAGCCGCGTCAACTAGCCCGCGCCCTCTCCCGTCCTCTTTCTTCTCACCATCGCCGGCGCGATTCTCGAAGACGACGACGACGACGACGACGACGACGACGACGACGACGCCGAAAAAGAAAGCCGGCCGGAGACGCGAAATTTTCCTGATACGCCACTTCACTTTGCGAAGGAAACTAACGGGGAGGGTTGCATGTAACGAAGAAGAAAAGAAGAAAGACGACGGCGCGGCGCGGCAGGGAACAAGAAGCTGAGTGGCTGTATAAGATCCGCCGCTCGCTAGGGGTAGAACAAAAGCGGGGCTCGGAACAATACGCACAGTGATTTCACCCCGTGCCGGCTTGTGCCGGCGCGAGTATTCCTGCCGCGAAGAAAGATGGGGAGAGAGAGACAGAGAGAGAGAGAGAGGGAGAGAGAGAGAGAGAGAGAGAGAGGGAGAGAGAGAGAGACACAGGAAGGAGAAAAAGCGACTCTCGCTGTCTCGCTCGAATGTCGCGCGATAAGAGGCACGAGTGACTTTCGTCTCTCTCATACGTTGCCTCTTAACCGATGTGATAAGGTTCCGCGATTGCGCCATCTCTGCGAGTAAGATCCCTCTCGTCGTTATTGCGGCAAAGTAACGCGGCGTGCGTCTTTCGTTTACTTTTATCTGTGCATTCCCCGCGTCGAATCTGCGGGAAATTCCGTTGAAAATTCTATCGCTTCTGTTCCTTGAAGAGAACTTGAGGACACCGAGCGACGCGCCGGCCGAGCCGTGTCGTTAGTCAGATGCCTAATATGTTTCTTTTTATTCTCCTTTTATCCTCGAGTATATAAGAGCCCTGTAACTCATCGAAAGGCGCGACTTTCTTTTGTTACGCCGGTCGCCGATTAATTTCGCATCGATGGCGAGCGCAATTCTCTCATTCGTCCTCTTCCATTTTTCTCTTCCGTTTCTCTCGTCCTGGCGATCCTTCCTGTGCCTCGACTGCCGGCGGCGGCGGCGGCGGCGACGACGGCGACGTTGCCGGAAAACGAAAACAAATGTGGAATTTCCGCGATACGGCTCATGACCACGTATACCACGCAGGCGAGAGGAACGAGGGGAAAGGACGGCCGGCAGAGCCGGAGAAAAGTAAAGGAAAAGGAGCGAAAACGAGAGGAAAAGGGCCGAGGAAGTGAGACGCGCGAGGGAGAGAAAGAAGGAAACGGCGGATCAGAAGAGATCCGACGTCGGTGGCCAGGAGGACTCGCGGCGTAGACCGCCCGAGGGGGGGACTACGAAACAATTCGCCAAGCCGTCTCGACCGGCGTTTACATTCCTGCAGGAATTCGTAACTGCAAGATTCCGGACACGGAAGTGGAAGCGGGCGGAGCGGAACTACGACGATGATGCGCCATAAGCGCGAGGACCGCACGGACGTTCGAGAGAGGAGGAGGAACGAACGCGAATTGCGAATTGCAGACGATACAAAGGAGAACTGCGTTCATCCGGCAGACGCGCGAGCTATCGCGCCGATATAACGAAGGAAACGCGAGGTATCGCCGATGTCTCCCGGCCGGTCGCCCGACCGGAATGGTTCCGTCGGCGCGCGGGACCGCTTTATCTCTGCACCACGTAGGCCGAGAGAAGGAAGCGAGGTGGATACGCGCGAAGATACGCTTCTTGTTAACCTTTCCGTCCCTGCGGTACCAATTGAAGAAGAAGAAGGGGCCATTATATTTTCCGTATGACAATTCGCCGTCTCCTTCTCTCTCGAGGAGAACGCACGTATCTTTCATTTGTCCCTTCGACATTCGGAAGAGAAGAGAAGCAGACAATCTCAAAATCTTTTGGGACTTTTGGGACCACCTCGATTCTTTTGCATACTTTTGCCAACGAGTGAGATCATCGGCAGCCGGTTAATCGCGGTTGAAATACTACATGGGCTGAAAAGTCTTTGGCCTGACATATAGATGGCGCCACAAACTAAAAATCCTTATATTTCCTATAGAGTACCAACCTGAACTTAGATGCTGTAAAAATTTCATGATATTTCGTTGACTCGTGTACAAGTTATAGCTTTCGAAGTGACGTTACCTCTGAATTTATCTTTACTATGGAAAAAAGTGAATTTCGTGTTTTGATTAAACATTGCTTCCTGATGGGAAAAAACACGGTTGAAGCAAAGGCATGGCTTGATAAATGTTACGGCACATCTGCCCCACCGAATTCAACCATCAAATATTGGTTTGCTGAGTTTCGTCGTAACGTCGATGCGCATAACATAATATTCATTGATTATCTTGAACATGGTAAAACTATCAATAAAGAATATTACTGTACATTACTGGATCGATTGGACGACGAGGTCAAGGTCAAACGGCCACATTTGGCAAAGAAAAAAATTTTGTTTCACCAAGACAATGCTCCAGCTCACTCGGCTCGCGATACGACCGATAAATTAAAGAAATTGCGCTATGAATTGGTCCCGCATCCCCCGTATTCTCCAGACCTGGCCCCCAGCGACTATTTCCTTTTTCCCCGACTGAAGCAGTGGCTCGCTGGTAAAAGATGTTACTCGAATGAGGAGGTCAAGTTGGAAACAAATGCCTATTTTGAGGGACTTGACACCGAGCACTGTAAGACCGGCATCGAAATGTTAGCGGACCGTTACACTAAGTGCATTACTCTGAATGGAGATTATGTCGAGGAATAAAACACTTTTTTCATTAAAAAAATCGTTTTTTCATTGTTAAGCCAAAGACCTTTCAGTCCATGTAGTAAAAGCGCCTCGGAGGTGTGCGGTAAAATCGAGCCGAGAAACTTTCGCGAGCGAGAACGAGGACCACGGCCCCGAATTCTTCGTTCAGTCGGCCGATAAAGTAAATTTCGCTCCGCTTGCGCTGTAAATAACGGGGATGCGAATTTGCGAAAAATGTGCGCGGCGACAATTCCCACCGTTCGGTTTGTCGCGAGCCGCTCGCAACCCGTCCCGTCCTCATCGTGCCGTCAGTAGAGTTTTATCTCGACGACGTCGACGGCTGCTACCGCGGGGATACGTCGACCGCGCGGATACGGGACGAGCCCGAAACGAAACAAATTGACGGTTCCAATGGGTAGCAAATGAAGCGCCGCTACGCAGTCGGCTCATTAATCGAATGAGCCTACGGCTGATTGGCTCCTGATTTAATCACCTGGCTACCTGCGCGACCCGCGTATCTCTCCGACCTACCCCCTCCGCTGCACGATGCGATTATCCGTGAGATTATTATTGTTGTTTACTGCTAACAAGCTCGACTCACCGTCCAAGCTGCGGCGCCGACGCCGCTTAGCGGAGACTTCCTGTCGAACAGTGTAATTAACACGTCGGACACCTTCGCGCCGATTACTCGCCGGGCACTCCACCGTACATCCGATCGCTGAAAGAAAAACAACGATGCTCGTTAACGCGCGATGATTAGCACGGTTTCTCTTTCCCTCGCCTGTGTACGCAGGCCACCGCGGAATACTTTCGTTCGTGAAACGACGATCGTCGACCAAGAGATGAACGATTCTCTCTCTCTCTCTCTCTCTCTCTCTCTCTCTCTCTCTCTCTCTCTCTCTCTCTCTCTCTCTCTCTCTCTCTCTCTCTCGCTCTCTCTCTCTCTCTCTCTCTCTCTCTCTCTCTCTCTCTCTCTCTCTCTCTCTCTCTCTCTCTCTCTCTCTCTCCCCCCCCTCTCTCTCTCTCTCTCTCTCTCTCTCTCTCGCTCTCTCTCTCTCTCTCTCTCTCCCCTCTCTCTCTCTCTCTCTCTCTCTCTTCGGGGTTGTATATAACAAACTAACCGAGCTATACTTGTGTGAGACAGGATCATGGCCGGTACGACGGGATCCAGAGGGTCCTCTTTGGCAGCGGGCTGCGATTCTGGCTGCACAAGCTGCTGCTGTTGGACTCGTTGTCCTACTTGTCGCATGGGCAACTGAGCCTCAGTTTGAATCGCATGATCCTAGTGGACGTGGACGATATATTCGTGGGCGAGAAGAGCACCCGACTGAGGAAAGACGACGTAATGGCGTTGCTGGCCACGCAGCAGAGGATCCAGGCGCTCGTGCCGGGGTTCAAATTCAATTTGGGGTTTTCCGGCAAGTATTTTCATCACGGGACGGCGGAGGAGAATTTGGGGGACGACATGCTTCTGGAGAACGTAGACAGGTAGGTATGATCTACAAATATTGGCCGTGTGTAAAAGCGATCGGGGCGAGTGCGAATAGAACCTTGCCGCCGCCCCGCCCCGCCCCCCCCCCTCCCGTCCGCGTCGCCCGAGCGGCGCATTCGCGATTCGATTCGCACATAGTTTCAAGCAGCGATCGCTAATTATTGCTGCTTTCATCACTCAAATTCACTGTCACAAAGCGAGCGCTCAGCGCGTAATGAATTAAATGTACAATTTCATCGATATGTCGTCGAAATATGTCGTCTCACGTATTAAAACGACACGTCACGCGGCTGCTCGCTCGTAATAATCGCTATAATCGCGGCATAACGCTAAACAGCAGCGGCTGAGACGTGGGCGCGATTGATCGTCGCTTACGCTGATCGTTGTGCCTCCAATCGCGAAATTGCAAAGTGATGTTTCATCGACACGCCGGGAAACGCCGTCGCACCTTGGGAACCGCGTGATTGGTCATTGGTAGAATTGTGCGCGAAATAAAAAGACGGGCTTTCGCAGATTTACGTGGTTTTCCCACATGTGGAATCACCAACAACCGCACCTCTACGAGAATGTAACTCATCTGCAATTGGACATGGCGCTGAACAAGCAGTTCGCGAAGGACCACGGTATACCGACCGGAAGCGGATACAGCGTAAGTCCGCATCACTCCGGCGTCTATCCGGTCCACGAAGGCCTCTACGAGGCGTGGAAGAGGGTCTGGAACATCAAGGTCACCAGCACCGAGGAGTATCCACACCTGAGACCAGCTCGTTTGAGACGCGGCTTCATTCACCGTAATATCATGGTAAGTTATCGCGTGGCAATCGATAAATTGCTTCGATATCGAGAGCACTCAATAAAACGACGCTCGTCAAACTCCGTCGACGAGAGAGAATACGTCGCGAATTGCGCAGAGCAACGCGCTCTGAAAACGTCGTTTCCTCCGCGAATGGTGATGATGTGGTTCGCGTTGCAATCCCCCCGAGAGATGCGAGTCTCGATCTCATCTTAAATTCGCATAAAATCGGACCCACGATCGGCCAGAGTTCGATCGATGAAGCTAATTAAGCGCTCGTTTACTCGCGGATACTACGTGGATATACGTGGAAATGCGGTCGCGTTATTTTCGCGAAGAGGGAGAGACGGCAGTATATAATATACGTGAAGGGAAATACGTAACAGTCCCCCCCCGACGTCCCGCCACCTTATGCGCGTTTCGGTCCGTTGTATATAATTTATAGATTCAACACACATCGCCCTCTCTGAATATGAAACGGCTCCTTTTGTGTTTCAGGTCCTACCCAGACAAACTTGCGGCCTTTTCACTCACACAATTTTCATCGAGAGGTATCCGGGCGGGCGGGAAAAGCTGGACGAGTCGATACAGGGCGGCGAACTTTTCCAAACGATCGTGTATAATCCGGTGGGTGAATCAAACGTTACGGAGTCAATTTTAACGCCGCATTCGTTTGATCTCGCCCGCTATCATATTACAGGCGTTTGCCTTCAATCGCCATTTTATTTAGCAGCCGCTCGGAATATTCCAGTCGCCCGCGATTCCGGATCATACTCGTGAATTCAATTGCGTTTAATCAGTCTCGCTTTAATCCGACGATATTACACGACGGTATTATAAATACGTGAATTTCGTGTCCCCCTTTTTTTTTTCAGATAAATATTTTTATGACACACATGTCGAATTACGGAAACGATCGATTGGCGTTGTACACGTTCGAGTCGGTCATCAAATTTATTCAGTGCTGGACGAATCTGAGACTGTCCAGCGCGCCGCCGCTTCAGCTCGGGGAGCGTTATTTTCAGCTTTACCCCGAGGAGGCCGACCCGGTGTGGGGGGTGAGTAGAGAGCCGTTCGGCTGTTAATCGATCCCCCTTCTCCTCGGCTGCGCTGCTTCCTCCGCCGCACCGCGCTGTTTGATATCGTTTGCTATCTTGCAGAATCCGTGCGACGATCAGAGGCACCAGAAGATCTGGTCTCGCAATAAGACCTGCGACCAACTGCCGCGGTTCCTGGTAATCGGGCCTCAGAAAACCGGCACCACAGCGTTGTACACATTCCTCTCTATTCACCCGGCGATAAGCAGCAACCTACCGAGCCCCGACACCTTCGAGGAGATTCAATTTTTCAACGGGAAAAATTATTACAAGGGTCTCGATTGGTGAGTGATCGGCCGATGCGGCCGACCGACCGGAATACCGGTTGTTGTGTATTCTTCTTAGTCGAGAACCAAATACGAGAGATACAATTCGCGTTGTTGTTCCACACAGGTACATGAGCTTCTTCCCGACGGCGAAAAACGAGAGCTCTCGGTACCTCTTTGAGAAATCCGCCACTTACTTCGACGGAGAATTGGTACCGCGGAGGGCACACGCGCTTTTACCGAGAGCCAAACTAATCACTATATTGCTCTCCCCAGCCAGACGCGCTTACTCATGGTACCAGCATACCAGAGTGCACGGGGATCCGGTAGCGAACAATTACTCCTTTCATTCGGTCATCACGGCGAGCGATTCCGCGCCGAAGCCCCTGCGGGACCTCAGAAATAGGTACGTAATTGGACGTGAATAATGACGTAAGACCGCAGCCGCCCGGATAACGTATGAATAAACGCGAGAACGGCGCGGCGCGGTCGTCGCAGAGAGTAAATACGCATTAGGATAACGCGGAAGTGCCGTGTCCCGGGTACGTGTTACGTACGTTAAACGTGCAACGTTGCGCTCGGCCGCAGGTGTCTCAATCCTGGCAAGTACGCCCAGCATCTGGAAAGGTGGCTGTCGTTTTACGTGCCGCAACAACTGCACATCATCGACGGCGAGCAACTGCGGCAGAATCCCGTAGAAACGTTGCACGAGCTGCAGCGGTTCCTCAAGATCACGCCCGCCTTCAATTACTCCTCGCACTTGAGGTACGACCCGAAGAAGGGTTTCTTTTGCCAGGTGACCAACGAGGATCGCACTAAATGCCTCGGCAAGAGCAAAGGCCGCCAATATCCGCCGATGGAGGACAGATCGTACAAATTGTTACAGGTAAAAGACGAGGTGTATTCTTTGTATTTTTTTTTTTTCTTTCTTTCACTCATGAGTGTGCGCCGGTTTTAACCGCGGTCTTCTTCTTCGCAGAGATATTATCTGTCCCACAACACGGCTCTGGTGAAGCTGTTGAAGCGGCTCGGATCCAGAACGATTCCGCAATGGCTGAAGGAAGACCTCACCGACACTGTGATGACCTAGCAAACGCTGATCGCGTGAAACTCCAACGTTTCCCGTTTGTTCGCTTCCGCCGTGAGCGAGATACATCGCTTGCTGGCGGAAGACCTGTAAATTAATTGTATATTCGACGCCCCACTGGATTCCACAACTTCAGAGGAAGAACCCATGCCTGGCCTATCCCAGTGGACTGGCCTAATTTATGGGAAGCCTGCAAAGCTAGTCACTAAGCGGCTTTATTTACGAAGCCACAATTGTAATTGTCGATCGTTGTTAAACTAATAGTACTGCGGAAGTTATCATGATTATTTGATATTTTTTATTAAACTTGGTAGCATTCTTAATTTTACTACCGTCAGTAGTAATTTTTTTTTACTGTCGTTATTATCATCGTTACCACGTTATAGAGGCGAGAAATGTTTAAAAAAAAAAAAAGAGAGATACAAGGCGCTTACTGATGTCCGTTAATTGCGATAATAAGCGCCTTTCATCCTATTTTTATCGAGTGCACAAGATTGATCGAAGATAAGTCGTTCAAGTCGTGTAAGTTTTCCATTCGAATTAAAATGTTTTTTTTTTAAGTAGTTTTTTTGAAAAAAGAAAAAAAACAAATTTGTTTCTACGATTTATATTTCTTGTGTCAAAAGGTAAAGTTTCGTGTGGGTAAATATTTCTGAGGTAAGAATAAAACAGCAATCTTTAGTATCAAAGTGAACACACACATAATGAATAATTAAAAATTCAATTTTCTCATTTAAGATTCGATGTCGAAGTACGATTTATCGTCGATGAATTATTTTTCTTTTTGCGCTAATCGTCGGATCGTCCATATGAGCGTGAGACTTTGGGGCTCCGAGCTTTTTCCTCGAGCCCGCCAACTTTCGGAGATACAGTGTATATTAATTCTTGTTGCGTAAGCGTATTTGAGATCGATGCTGGCGGCAATGAGCCGACGAGGAGTCTATGTATATTTTGACAATACTATTCTTGGTACCGGCGTTGTGGAAAAAGCCAGCAACAAAAAAGTTTTGTGATCGCGTCCGTTTGTACACTGAGATGTAACGTATTATTTTGATGTTAAGATAGATGTACCATAAAAAGGATCCAAGATGATTAAAATCAGGCATATTCAGAGTGAGCCCGAAGATTTTCAGATCTCCCGAATATGATTAGAAAACGTACGTTTATTCGCAATAATAATCGCTAACAGATTTGAGACTCGTGCGACGCTTGTTGGAGCAACACATGACTGTTTGGAAAATACCGCGCAGATTTACTCGCTGATAAACTGTCCCCGAAACTGATATGCAGATTAAAAATTGGATATAACTCACCGCCTATTGTACACCGAGCTGACGAAACGTTTGTTCGATAAGTGTCGCGGAAAACGTAAGCTTCAGCGGTCATTAAAAATGATCATGTTGTGGCTACTCGACGTTATTTTTTGCGATATTTTTCACCTTTGATGTGTACATACATAGAGGAAGAGAGAGAGAGAGAGAGAGAGAGAGAGCGTGTGTGTTTTTTTCACGCGCGTATTCAATTGCTCGTTTTGGAGTGACCTTCGTACAACCGTATACCACGAGAGAATATATATAAAAAAAATCAATTCAATAAAATTATGCTGGCTGGACAAACGCCGACAAAAGATCTGATTATTGTGCGCGTTAACTTTATTTGTTATTTACACGCGTATGTCATCCTCGATAATATATAAGCAATGTACAAATACTTTTAATGATACTGTCCGCGTATCTGTGACCACGTAACTGTACATTATAACTAAGTAATTCATGAAAGAATTTGAAGCGTGGCCCAATTACGCCCTGCACGTGACATATGCTCGGCGCATCTTTTGCACGGTGAAACGTACCGGCTAATGTGTACGAATCGTTCGATGATTTCGGTCCAAGACGAGCAATCCAGTGTCTTAATGGAAGAGGAACGCTCTTTTTATTCGCGAGTCTCGGTAAGCGCGGATTGTGTTGTGTCCTGGTGGAATGTTTTGTTATGTTTTGTAGAACCTATTTTCGTTTTCAGACTGCCGTTGAATTATGCCATATAACGTTTAACGAATCATGTATAAAGTTTATTGTTAGTATTATAACAGTAGTTACTAACGATACTCTATCAACCAATTGATCTGTTTCGTCGAATCGTGCCATTTTACCAGTGTTGTATATACGATTATCAAATACGATCAACGTACCAATCGCGACGTCGGTTCTCTAGAGTCATCAATATCCTTAATTTCGTTTAGTATGGCGGTAGCAACGAGTGTCCGGCTTGCTACTACCTGACAATAACGAGATAATGACAAAAAAGATATAGGTAATAACCCCGTGGAATATCGACCGACGCTCACACAAGAGAGAACGTGTGCGAGTTAGATCAACGGCTAGCATTGCATCATCGCTGGTCCACCCGTTTAAAACAATTATATCTTTGTATTTTTGAAACTTGTATAATATTGACATATCGTGACGGTAAAAGTGCGCGATTAGAGATTAAGTAATTTAAATAATATAGCGAAATTGTCCTATATTTTGTGTAGCATCAGTGTCTGAACGCCATCAGGTTCTCGCACGAAATCAGGAACTTTATGATTACTGACATATTCTTTATTTATTTATTTATTTTGTTCCATCGTATATATACTATCTCCAAATCGATCAGACCACTCGAAATCACACTTGCATATCAGGCACTGCCACTGATGAGCGATGACGAACTGCTAACCGCTGCGAGATTCCGCGAGGTGCATCTGTTCCGTGTATTACAAACGCACAGGAATGGCGAGCATTCTGTAAATATATTCTGTTCCAATAGACTGTCACGCAGGAAAAAATTGATGCCATCGTTGTGCAAACAAACGAAGCCGCGCGTAAGATGTGTGTGTGTGTGTGTGTGTGTTTGTGTGTGTGTGTGTGCGTGCGTGCGTGTGTGTGTGTGTGTGTGTGTGTGTATGTACGCATGTATGTATGTGCGTGTGCATGTGTGCGCGACACCTCGGGATAGGATCTTGAATTATTTATAACTTATGACTACTCTATTGTAAAATACTGTAATAACTGTACGAATAGTCGTAAGTTCTAATAAAAAGAGGCCCTGAAAAATCCTGGAGCGAACTGGCTTTTGTAACGACGAGGTGATACGACGTAATACAGATTTTTTTCAACACACACACACATACACACACACATATACACTTCGAGAATTGTGTCTCCCTTGTAATTTTGAAATGACGTTCCATCACGTTCACAACCGATCTTCTTTTTGCACTATTTAATTCATTCCTCCCTCTCTTTCGCTCTCTAAACTGCAATATGTAATATCCCGTAGCTCGCGGCTATCTATTCTTCAAAACCACGTGCAAATATCCTCGTTCTAGTCCCGACGAATCGACGCACTGTTCCTGATCCTCTGGTCCCTCCATCGCATTCGCATTTCCTACGTATTTGTATGAAATTTAACGCATTTAACGAGAGAGAGAGAGAGAGAGAGAGAGAGAGAGAGAGAGAGAGAGAGAGAGAGAGAGAGAGAGAGAGAGAGAGAGAGAGAGAGAGAGAGAGAAGGAGAGATTAATAGAGCGTCAATGCCCGCTGTAGAACGACGAGTCGTTGCTCGTCGCCTCGACGCTTTTCGCAGATTCGTTCAAGTCCAGCGTTCTCGCGACGGCGCCGTCTTCGTCGCACGAATCGCTGGACGAGGAGTCCAGCCGTCTCGCTCCCAGCACGACCTTGAAATCTTCCCGGGCAAATTCGTGGTGCAGGTTCGTCAATTTCGCCGTTCGACGTAGCTGATAATTTCTCGGGTCTCTGGATTCTTCGAGTGTGTTGAAGTTCTTCGTCAATGTTGACCCACGATTGTCCTGACCGTTGTAGGCGCTTTCCGTGATTTCGGATTCCTTCGAATCCTCCTCCTCGTCCGTCTCTTCAATGGGATCCAAGTCACATCTGATACCTCGTCCAAGAAACAATTTCTTCCCAATCCCCGACAGATTGTAATTGACCGACTCGCCGGTGCCGCCTCCTAACTCCTCCACGAACACAGGAGAACTCGCTGACAAAGTATGCACTTGTCTCGCCTTCTTCGCTTTTACTCCTGCAAAGAACGCATCGTCTCGATTAAGAAGACCTCGGGCGGATCGCGTCGTTCTTTAGCGTTTCCAAGGTACAGAATATCCAAGGACGAGCGCCGTTCGCGCGGCAAACTCTGCAATTCGCACAATCGACCAACCTGGTGCCTGAGCCTCGAGCGTCGAGTTCTCTTTAGCTTGGACAACCGGCCCGCTCACAGCGACGGGCTCGCCGTCCTCGAGCTTGTCCATCTCCGTCTGATACTTCCAGAAGCTGGAGCCGACGCTTGGTCGACCACCAGCACCAGCGGTCGCGCCTGGTTGCAGGTAAAGGCAGCCGCTGTCGGGGAAGAAGAGTCTCTGCAGGAACGACCTCGGCGGGCCCCTGTCAATCGCAGCGTTGGCCCGCTCGTGATTCAGGCACTCCGATCTGTTGCGTAGCGCGCCGCAACACCGCAGTAGGCCGAAGAGCGACAACATCGTAGCACCGACCATGCTGAGCAACGTCAGCAGACAAATCAGTTGCCAGGAGAAATTCAACAGCATCGTCGTGACGTCCTCGTCGGCGCGCGCCGCGCAGATCGGCGCGACGAGGCTGCCGAGGATCCCGCAGACCAGGTGCAGAGCTGTGACGTTGCAGTAGTCCTCCAAGGCGCTGCGAAACACCTGTCTGGACACCACGTAGAACACCCCGCCCGCCAGGCAACCCAAGCCGAGCGCCGCTTGCGGCGAGTAATCGTTCGCCGCGGCCGAGACCGCGACCACACCGGCGATCGTCCCCTGAACGCAGCGCATTACCGTCCAATGACCGAAGGTCTCCCGGCTGAGCAGGAAGTGCAAGGCCACGACCAGCAGCGAGCACGAGGAGGCGGCCAGCAGATTGTTGACGTAGGCGTGGGACGGATCTCGCTCGCCGAGCGCGCGGAATCGCGAGCGATTGTGCGCGCTCGTGCACAAACCCTGTCGACATTGACGACAGAGACCGGGCGTTTTAGTCGGTCGACGAGAAACCTTGCTCGATTGGAAAGTAATCGACATTCTGGCCGGAATAGCGAATCGAAATTAACATCGAATAAATTGTGCCTGCCTGTTGTTAATGGTCGTCTCTCAATCGAGTCACCCATTGTTTCGTTGATTACGCGGTGTTGATAATGAGTTTCATCGATTTGCATTGTCCTCGATTACGTACATAATGAGAGTACATAATGAGAGACCCGTTGATTAATTTGGATTAATTCGGACGGATGATTTTCTCGCGAAGACGATCGAACGGCACACGATGGACGACGATAGAAGGTGGATTTTTGCCGAGTGTCGAGGAAATGAAGAAATGTCGAGATCGCGACGCGCACACTCACTTGCAGTCCGACGAAAATCAGTAAGAGCCCGCCGAAGACCGTTCCGGCGGAGCCCGCGGTGATACTCGCGCCGTCCAGGTCCCTCAGCCTGAGCATCCTTCTGCCAAGGACGACGCATCCGATCAGACCGGAGAGTCCGCCGACCACGTGGACCACAGCCGCGCCAGCGTAGTCCCTGAAGTCGACTCTCCTGTCGGCCAGCTCGCTCTCGGTCATCCAGCCGTCCGCGGTCCAGGCCCAGTGGATGAGGAGAGGCTGTGTCAAGCCCGCCAGGACGACACCCATCAGCAAGTAGCCCAGTGTGTGCATCCTGCCGACGACGGCGGTGGTGCAGATCGCCGAGGCGACCGTCACCGCTTGCCAGCCTACGATCGCTCTGTCCTTGTCGACTGTCGCGTCGCCGATCCAACGACCTTGACCGACGACACCAGCGAGGTCGCCGTTGTAGGCGATGAGAAAGCCGATGAGGAAGTACATGACGGTGACGCAACACAGATCGACCACATTTTGCAGGAGGATCAGGTTGACGTTGTTCACCGGCACGCTGCCGATCTGGACGAGGACGAAGCCGACGCGCGTCAGGATCACCAGGACGAGGCGGGTCAACGAGCTCCAGTGGCCGACGTGCGCCGCCGGGTCGCTGCTGGTGTAGTTATTGAGCGAGCGCAGCTGAACCGCGTAGTCGAAGTAGTTCTCCGCGTAAAAGTAGTCCTTGGCGACGTACGACATGCTGTTGCTTGTCGCGAGAGATCGACCTGGAAGTTGGCTTCTGGCACGTCACGTTATCATGCCGCTCGCTGTGACGGAGCTGTGCTTCGGGACTGTGTGCATTTCGCACGCGCGAGATTGACGTTATCTCGCCCCGTTAGGTTAGACCCGTGGTCGAAGAAACTCGCGAACGAAACAGCGTGCAGCCGCGAAACACGACCGTCTGCTGTTTCGAGATCGGGCGCGCGCCTCGGGAAAAACACGAAACTCGCGCGCAAACCGCGCAAACGAGTGTTGTGCAACCGCTTCGAAGCAGGATCGGTGGATAAACATTCGCGCGCGGCACCTTTACCCTGACGAGTCTCGCGACGCGGAGGACCGTATCTTCCGGGAGAGTTGCTCCGGGAGAACGAATTTGCCTATTTGTACGCGCTGGGATACTTTGCGAAACTCATCGAGGTAAAAGCGTCCTCTTGGCTCAGCTGACGGACCGTAGCCGGAAGATACAATCAAGCAAGCGACAGGAAGCACCATCGCATCAACGTCACAACTGCCGGCAGACTCCTCGCTTGGCACTCTCTCCAGCGCAAACTCGCCAGACAAACTTGCCAGACGAACCAATCTAATCAGAGCTAATCCGCCGGCTTCGAGGTATTCGCGGCGCCAGGCGACGGGTGCTGCAACAACACACACGAGCTCCGCGCAACATGTTGAGAGAGAGAGAGAGAGAGGGAGGGAAAGAGAGAGAGAGAGGGAGAGAGCGAGGGAAGAATCGCAGCCGATGACGACGTGAATATATCCCCGTCGTCATCGGCCTCGGTGTGTCTGTCGCGCTTCGAACGTTCAAACGGTGCCGCGGGCGGCAACGACGGAGCGCCTCGGCCAATGTGAATCGAGCGAAGCGCGACGCGCATGCCACGTAGTCGATTGCGGCAAGGTCGCGGTCTCGAGCTCAGGCTCAGGGACGAGCCGGCGCGCGCGATGCTACCCGTCGCCGCGGCGGGTAGTCGTTCGGAGCCGGCCGTTGGTCCCTCCGCGACGGTGGTGAGCAGGTGTCGCCGCTTCGCTGCTGCCGACTCGTATTCGTGGGGACGCGCGCGAATTCTCGATAGATGGCTGTCGTACGTGTGAACGAGTGAACGTGTGCGCCGCGTATTTCCAAGCGCTGCCGGACGCGCAGCGGCCGGGTGCGACGATCGAAAGAGAGAGAGAGAGAGAGAGAGAGAGAGAGAGAGAGAGGAAATCAGCCGAGAGGAGGCTACGAGCTGTCGCGGGCAATGGCAGCGGCGGCATCCTGTCGAGGACTATTCGTCGTGAGGTGGTACGAGCTGAGCCGTGCGCTGAGTACCGCGTCGTGCCTGACCACCGCGACTAGGAAGTATCAGAAGGTTCGTTGTTGACATCCATAGCATTGACCCGCGCGCGCGCGAACCGCACCTGCGGAGCCGCCGCGACCGGCGTTTCTCGCCTCGTTCCTCGCTTCGTGCGGGAGAGCGACTCGGGTGCGCTCAGGACGGCGGCGGCGGCAGCGGTGGGAGCGCCGCCGGCTAAGCAGCGCTCGATGACGATCGGTGAGAAAGAGTTGCGGGCGCGTGCGGGCGGGATCAAAGGGGATCGCCGCGCGCGGCGATCAGGCGCGGTCAAAAGCGCGTGGCTGGTGTATCGCCTCGGCACACACTCAGGTGTTGCTCCGCGTCCATATCCCACCTGTGTGTAGCTCTGCTACACGTAACATCATTCAACATTACCGGTTTACCCGTTGCTGCTGTCTCCCACTCCTACCGTACGCGAGCGTCGTACCGCGCCAGCGGTTTCCCCGAGTCTTCCCTTGCGCTCGAGGCGAGAGTGTGCAACGCTCGTGGAATCTTGTGCATGCGTCGACAAATAGCACGCGACGGCTTGCATACACACACACATACACACACACACACACACAGAGGTATACACAGGACACGGCACGGCACCCTGTAGTATTTCGATCTCATTTGCGAGCGAGCCCCTCTCATGCTAATCACGAGGCGAGCCGCGCCGCGTGATCGTTCTTTCCGTGAAATTCACGTGTCCCGTGATCCGCGTGCGTGCTTCTCAACGGGAGAGATTAGCGGGTGGTATTTTTAATGATTGATGTCACGTCCGCGCGCGCGGTATCCGCAGTCGCGTGAACGCGAAGGAAAAAATGGGGGGGGGGGGGGGGGGACGAGCGGCAAGAAATGTTACTTCTCACTGCCCGCGGGGAGAAGAAACGGAGGAAACGGCAAATTGTTTTCGCTCATGTATAATGGAATGTGATCGAAATATGTAAATCGCTGCGCGCCGAGTGTCTCGTTATCTCGCGTGTGACGAGTCGAGGAAAAGTTTGCGTCGACGTACGTCGACGCGTTATCGTCTTCCTGCTTAATCGGCCGGCCTCACCGAGTCTCTCACACGGAGGACAGGAGAGAGATGTTGCGCTCGTCGTGAGATGAAAGAGCCGCGCGAATACGCATGCACGCAGCAGCCAGCCATGCGTATGCGTCCACGCGCGTCTTCCCTGCGCAGAACACATCCGCAATACGTCGCTAATAAATCAGCGGGAGGGGTGCTAATGTGCGTGAATGTGCGTAACGGCCGACAGTCCCGCAACTTTTCGCGTGTTTTCCAATTTAGCTCCGAGCTAATCCACGCGTGGATTCGCCCTCTCTCGACGATGGATCTTTATATAGCCAGCGGGGCGGGGTGGGGTGGGGTGGGGTGGCCCAACGCATCGTCCGAGTGAAATTCGCGTCGATAACGGGAGGGTGGATTATAATATCTCGCGGTGGCGCGCAGTCGACGAAAATGCATGCAGCAGCTGCTTTATATACATATATAATGTATGATTTTCCCCTCAGCGGATCGTACATACGCGAGAGCGGTGTATTTGACAAATTTCATATCCTCCTTATCAGCACGGCGGCGAATGTGTATTTCATTTGCGACTTCCCTTATCAACATCTGGGTGTATCACACGAGGAGCTACACACTGCGGTTGTACACGGTTGCGGTGCGGCACATGAAACGTTGATAGCGCAACATTCCCGGGAAGAACGCGGCTACCCTCGTTATCGTCACTCCCAAAGTAGAAAATGATTGAGGCGCGAGTATAACAGAGGCGAGATAAAGCGTGAAAAACAGAATATAATCAGGAGGCACGTTGGATATCTGTGTGTATGTGTGTGTGTGTATGTGTGTGTGTGTGTGTGTGTATAACACAGACGGAGTCTGCGCAAATTGATACATCGCTCGAGTCGATCTATGACGTTGCGTTTACATCGCGTGGTTATTATTATTAATATTCACGAGTGCAAGCTTATTTCTCCGTCGAGAGGGGTGCCGTGTAAGATCCAACGGCCCTCCAACGCGAGCACGCGAGCACGCGAATTTTTCGAGGCCAATTCACACGAAAGGCGAAAGGCATTTCTGTCTGTGATACTTAGCAAACAATACTACGTCGTAGTGGTGAAGGGCCCCAGCTAGATGATAGAACATCGCGGAGAACAATGGCACCTTGCGCGCCCGATACACATGTCGAAATTTCGAGAACGCCACTTCCCAATTAATTCCCCGGGCGCGGTGCTACGGTATTCGCTATTTTCGGCACAAAGGCGAGGCACTCGGATCTCAGAAATGACCTGGAACTCCCCGGACCCCATTTCTCACCACCACCCCCCCCCCCCCCGCGCCAGTAGCGTCGTAGAAAGCGCAGACATTTTCCGCGCGAAAAATAGACACTTGTCTATATCCGTAAATCAAACGGCGCGTCGCTTTAGCGTCGCCCGCCGCGCTAATATTTCACTCGCTTAAAGGAGCGATGCTCGTTCTCCCTCGAAACACGCGCGCGCACGAGTCTCCGGGTGTGTTCCGGTTCACAATCCGAAGTTGAAGAAGAATCAAGCCGTCTTAATTCGAAAATGGAATTTTCTAATCGAGATTGATTGGCCCTTGAATCGCTCCCTTGAGCGCCAATTGATCACTTCTATGGAGAGCTTCGACTTTGACAGATGTTTCATACCTCTCATTTCTCTCTTCCTCTTCGACTCTCGTCTGAGGAGAGAAACGTAAGACGCAAGAGCAAAGATCGGCCAAGGGTGACTCACACGGTTGCCAATCGGTTAGTCGCACTCCGACAAAAACTAACGAAGAACGTTATTCGTTACCGTTACTCGTGATGATGTCAGATGCAAAGTAATGTGAAACTTCAGCTCGACAATGCCACTCTCGTAACAATGTCTCTCAGTCTCCGTCGCTTCTTTATTCCGCGCCAAAATGCTTTACACGCGCCTCACGTCTCGAGGAATCGGGTTGCAGTTATTTCGTTTGCGAAGTCGATTTAGAAATCGACTCTCTTGGTACGAGCGAGCGTCCCCGTGAGTGATGCGGGGACACGCGAGAGACAAGATGCAAAGCACGAAATTTTAACCACCGTCCGGATGAAAGCTAAGACCCGGCGGAGATGTGGGTCAGCCATTGTCCCCGCGGAACTAGATGAAGGACATTACGGTTATCCAGGATGCGATATGACGTCGGTACCTGCATAATAATGAAGTGGAAATAAACGTTGCGCGCATAAACGCAGCACGGGTGCCGCTCTCGCTCCCGAGCTGCTGCGTGTCGCTTCCTCGCGGGTGAAGCAATTAATTGACTCGAAAGAAGAGAAAAGAAAAACGAAGAAAAAAGGGAAGGGAAGAAGAAAGAAGGAAAGGGAATTTGGCGCTCGGTTGCGCGAAGCGCACCACAGCGCGGCCGCGCTCGTGTCGGCTCGCGCGAATCCCCGTCGAATGTGTTTGGCCGGGATCCAAGGGATCCTGCGAGTGAGATGCTTCTTGAACTCCCGAGAAATTTCAGGATCGCGCGCGGCTTCGTCGAAGGCTCTCCGGCTTCAGCACTCCGCGCCGTATGCGCGCGCGCTCGCACGCGCGTCGATAACGCGCCTTGTGCCGTGCCGCCTCTTCTCGGTAAAATGTCAAGCGAGATAAATCCGTCGTCGGTCTACGATCGTCCCTACGGCATTTATAAATATTCAGAGTTCCTACTCGGGTCGTCACACACAGAAAAATATGCCACATTCTTGAGTCGATTGGGCGAAACACGCCGTATATACGTCTCGCTCGCTCGTGCACCAAAATGCAAATAATAATATCCGGTTGCGTCGTGCGATATCTCTCGGATATTTACATGAAATTAGGCCCTGCCCCCTCCTCCTCCTCCTCCTCCTCCTCCTCCCACTCCTCCTCCTCCTCCTCCTCCTCCTCCTCCCACTCCTCCACCTGCGCTCTTATGTAATCCGCGAGCGGAATGATACGTCGCGCATACGAATAAAAATTCTCGCTCGAACTTTCTCACGAACGAGAGAGTCACCGTGCCAAAAATATAACTGATTCTTACGCCACCGCAGTGCTGTCGACACGGGAACGCTTTTAAGCGCCGGCCGAATTCGATCACTCCAGCTTTTTGCGCGAAGCAACGGACTCGAAAATTTTAATCGCCTAATTGGACGACGTCGAAGCGGAGATCCCAACAGGGACGTGAATTTGCTGTCCTCCCTCAGATATTATATTTCACAACGGATGGATGGAATAAATTAGACGCGATGTTTAACGACACGACGGGGGGGACTGTAAAAAATTCCGCACACTCAAGACAAAAGCTTGGTCCTCCGGGTATCGCAGGATTAATGCGGGATGTACCGAAATCTCGCTTCGATTATGATCGAGCTTGTTTGCCCTCCCAGCGACGAGCTGCGCTCGAGTCATCAACTCGAGCTTAAAGAAAATCGCACGACGCTCTTCGAGCTCAGCGGCTCGCTGGCAGTTTTTATCATCGTCGGCGATGTCGCAAGTGCGTACTCGGCAATTCGCAAGATACCGCTTGTGAGAAACGAACACATCGTCACACGTGACGTATCGCCTCGATGACTCACGTCGAGCGTCGAGCACGCGTTAGATATGCGCACCGTTGCGTGGGGAGGAGAGAGCACGAAGATCTCGAGTACAATTTCGAGTGCAAGAGACTCATCCGATCGGCATCCCATTGAGCTCTCCCGCGCCGCGGCTCTCTCGCAGCTCCTTCTCCTCCTCCTCGTCACACTCGTCGCTGGCGTCTCGTCAGGATCGCGCGCGTAATTAACCGCGCGGGAAGAGCGCGAATCGGGCGAAGCCACCGCGCCGGGAAAAAGAGCACAAGCGAAGCAGTCGCTGCGATTGACAGATCGCGCGACCCGATTGTTTCGCGTGTGGCCCGACCTAACCTATTTCCCGAGCTGGGAACGCGGGAGAGGGAGGGGAACATTTCGTTCGTTCGCGACTTCGTTCGATCGTACGCTTCGATCGAGTCCGCCGCTCCAGGCCAGGTCAGCCGTGGTGCTTTGCGC